AGAATAGAATTAAGACCCTATAGAGAAGACAATAAATCTGCCTTTTCTCTTTCCTCCTTGCATCCAGGCCACCTCCCCTCTGCCCTGTTGGTAACAGAGCCTGGAGCAGTCTGCTAATGGCTCACAGCATGAGGCCGGCAGTCTTAATGTCCTCTTTTCTCTCCCCACAAGTCCTAGCAGCAGCACCTCAAGAAGTGATCAGCATTGTGTCTTGCTTTCCTGGTTTCACTATTTCTGTTTTTCCGTGAGTACTAAATTGCAAAAGGAATTACATTTTCTTTTCCAAAAGTCTGACATTAAAAGGGTTGCTCTGAGATTTTATTTGACCTGGGTACAAATTTTTCTCATAGAAAGTGTCAAGTATCATGTTGGTAGAGGAGAAAATATTTGACGAGCATAAATTACTCCACAGGTAATCTTTCAGAATGTATATATTCCTTACATCTGAGGAAGGTTTTCTTTTACTTTATATAACCATTTTTAGCCTTTAGTCATTCTTCTAGAATGGCAGGCAAAATGTCTACAACTCACTTTCAGATTATTATTTTTTTTCCCTGAAAACAAAAAGTATGTTCCTAGCAATACATCTCCATAGGAAGGTTATAAATTTCATTTCCTGTTGCACTGATAATACCTATAGGTTTCAATATAAGTGCACAAACCCTGCTAACTTTTATTTAATACAATTTTGTTCTTTAGTCTAAGACTCCTTTTCAAAATTGCCAAAGAAATCTACTTGATTTTCTTATATTTTTTGAAAACCTTCAAACCATTACAATAAAATTATAATTTGAAGAAATATGGCATAGATCTTCACAGAATACATTTGTATTCAATCTCATTATATTTTCAATGCATCCTAGAATCAGTTGCTCTTCTTTTCACTTTAGAAAATTATATAACAGACACTAAATGCTTTACTGTATGCCTAACATCCAGAACCGTGACTAGCATACAGTAAGTACTCAATAAATATTTTTTTTCAATAAATATTTTTAATAGTGACTGAATATATGAATTAAAGGTCAAATGAAACATTATTATTATCTTTACTTCATAGCATTAAACAATCATGATAATTAAACAACAATCATGATAGCCAAGTAGACTTCACAAAACATTCTATTTGTAGTAAAGTGAAAGTATAATATTTACATGTCTGTAAAAAAACTTTTCTTAAAAAATAACATCTTAGGTATGTGCAATGGCTCTTTTCTTGGTATTTCTCTCCCTCAAACTCTCTGCTGTGTGTCTGAATGTCTGTCTGTCTCTTTCTCTCTGTCTCTCTCTCACACACACATGCAGACACACACACACACACACACACACACACACACACACACACACACTCCAAAATCTAGAAAGACTTTTGGGAAGCATTACTGTTCTCTGTGCACAAGGATCTATACAATTTGAACATAAATTCTGTTTTAAGGATATCACACATGAAAAGCTTTCACTCTTCAGAGCATCTCCAAGTACCATGAATATTAATTTTAAAGACTGGGTTTACGTTAGAGTGTATAGGATGCTGCTTTCATCATTGACTCAATTTTTATCAAATTGAATTGTCCTCTTCACTTTATTTCCAAATCCCTTGACTTTAATTCTATACATAATGAAAATCCAAACACATCACTAGAGTTAACTCTTCATGTCACTATTAGCTTAAATATGATTTTTATGAATAAAATTAGTTTGCAATTGAATACAGAAATATAAACATGCAGTTGGGTTTTTAAGGGGATTTCCTGAAAGAGGAAAGAAATAGGATTAAAATATTTAGTCTTGAGTCTCCCACATAATTCATACTACTTCTGGAGCTGAGCAAAAGATCTTTCAAGTGATTCAATCTAATTTAAAAAATTGACCAAATTTGAACGATGAATTTGTTGGCAGTTTTCTTCTTTCTTTCTTTCTTTCTTTCTTTCTTTCTTTCTTTCTTTCTTTCTTTCTTTCTTTCTTTTCTTTCTCTTTCTTTCTTTCTTTCTTTCAAATATTTTATTTATTTATTTAAGAGAGAGAATGAGTGGAGTGGAGGGGTTGAGGGAGGGGAATTGGACTCCAGGCTGGATCCCAGGACCCTGAAATAATAATCTGAGCCAAAGGCAGATACTTAACCAACTGATCCACCCAGGTGCCATTGTTTGCCATTTTCTAGATTACTGTGTGTGTACATATATATACATATACATATATATACATATATAAAGATATATATATATCTTTGTGTATCTTGACCACTGAGAGAAAAGGTGAGGGTGAGAAGAGTAAAAAGAGACTAAGATTACAGAGCTACATTACATGAGGACATCACTGCAGACAGAAAACCATAAAGGAAAGGAAGAGTGTGAAAAGCTGCCAGCCTAGGAACTCAGTGCAGATATAAGGTGTGAGAATCCTATAACTAATCATTCACAGTTCAAGTGTTGCAATTTCTATACATTCCTTTTTCTTTTTTTTTTTAAATTTTTTTCTTCCCTCTCCCTTTCATTCATTCATTTATCAAAAGGAAAGAGTAATTATTTAAAACCTAATATGTGCTAGAAACTATTTAAATGCTAGAAACTCAGAAGTCAGAAATAGGCAAAAAAAAAAAAAAAGCCCCTTTTAACATTTCTTTATTACAGTGGTTGAAGAAAAAGATAATTAAGAATAACTAAAATATATGCTGCAACATTTGGTGACTAAGTACTATGGGTGTGGCTAATGAGGGATGGGTCTCCCTGAGGCTGCAACATTTGAAATCTGACCCAGCAAGAAGGAATGAGCTTTGTGGAAATCAGAATAAAAAGCATCCTGGGAAGAGGAGACAGATAGTGCAATATCTGTAAGTGAGAAACAAGATTGGTGTGTTCAGTGAGGAAAAGTATGGTCAGTAAATGTAAAGGCAGGACAGACTCTGATATTTTTGTTTTGGCCTATGGTTCAGATTTTAAGGCTTATCCACCAAGTTCCTATTTCCTCCTGATACATTGTCTTTGCCCTTGTCACTGGAACCAGATGATTAATGATGCTTTTTATGGGTACTCTAGCAAATACATCATTTTAGACTTTTATTGGGCACAGAGCACAGAGAGTATGCCATTTCAGTCTCCAGTATTTTGATGAAGAAATATTGTTATTTACTCTAAGTAACAGAAACCATTTATTTTTAAATATGAAAACTATGAAGAAATCCAGCTTTGACCTGATTTAGTGTTTTTCTTCTGCCCTGTCATTTGCAGGTTGCTTCTGGGCTTTGTGTGACTTTGAACTGTCTCTGACTTATTATAGGAGTTAAATTCCAAGTGCTAATTCCTACACAGGAAACTTCTTACCCCTCCTAGAAGCCACAGGTTTGGCTCTCCTGAAACACAGTGCATCTTTTTCATCTGTTTTTTAGAGCGAAAGCTCTTCATGGACTGTAATTTCCCCTTCTGTGTCACAATTTCTTTCTCTTCTGTAGGTATGTTTTGTACTCTTCGGGAAACAAAGAGTGCAAGAAGATGAAGTCAGAAAGGCTTGGAATGAGGACTGGCTATTGTACTTTTCAATGTTGTAATCTTGGAAAATTTAACCTCTTTTAGGTTCAGTTTTATCATTTAAACTGAGATATAATGAATTTATGTATATAAAAATTTATAGATTGGCAAGCACCATATAATTACCTCATCTTCATCATCTTCATTTCTATCATTTGAGTACTTTTTCCTCAGAGCAGTGGTTCTCAAAGTATGGTCTTGGAACCAGCAGTGAACATCTCCTAGCAATGCAAATTCTCTGGATTTACTGATTCAGAAACTCTGGAGTGGGCCCAAGGAATCGAAGTTTTCCCAAACCTTCCTGGTGATTTGGACACATGCTAGCGTTGCCTTAGAAAAAATACATTCCCTTATTATTTTGTCTCTAGTTGTCCATAGTCAAATTCCTCAAATGTGCTGAACTGAGTAGCTCAGAAATTTGTAATATTAAAAAAAGAAAAAAAAACTTCCTAGACAGTTACTTCAAACGAAATTACTTACATTTGGAATGTAGCTCATATGCAATGATAATAAAAGATAGACAAACAAAAGGTATTCCTACATCCCCCTCAGAGATAAATAATTGTATTCAGATGTTAGAATAATCTTCTGAAATCTCTTAGAGCAGCTAAAGAAGGCATAATTGCTCCTAAAAGTTTTTCTTTCTTTCTTTTTTAAGATTTTATCCATTTATTCATGAGAGACACAGAGAAAGCAAGAGGCAGAGACACAGGCAGGGGGAGAAGCAGGCTCCATGCAGGAGCCTGATGTGGGACTCGATCCAGGGTCTCCAGAATCATGCCCTGGGCAGAAGGCAGGTGCTAAACCGCTGAGCCACCCAGAGATACACTCCTAAAAGTTTTCATACTGGCTCCAAGTCTTATAAAAATGGGAACTTACCCATAAAATAAAATAGAACTTAATAATAGATATGTTTAATAAATTCATAAATTAGATCACTTTAAAGTGCAATGCAATAATAAATATCATACCAAATTGTCATCTTCATCAAAATTCAAACTAGTAAACTAGAATTTACATATACATGAAACATGGTAGAAATATATATTTTACAATTCCACTTAATATGTACAGGTTATGTCCCCTATTCCATGCCTTATGTTACCGTGGTGGTAGCATAAGCTGCATCACAGAACATATTCATATCCAGAACTATCACTAAAATGTTTTGATTTTTGTGTAAAGTCTGGTATATTTATGAAATAATCAACAAGGGATGCAGCAATTAAGAGTAAAATTCACAGTTGTAATGCAGAATAAATTAATCTAAGTAGCTTGCCCTTGTGTCCTTTTCTAAATCAGTGGTTTTAACATTTTTTTAAAAAATCAGTTTTTTTTTCTCTAATGCAATCTCATAAAAAATAAAAATATATAAGATTGATTCAACCAGTATTAACATAAATTTATTTCACTCAGAGTTCAAATGCATATCTGTCCTTACTTTAAATACAATCAAAGGGAATAATATCTTCTTGGATAAAAATGAAAAAGCTGAAATTGAATGTCACCTTTGTGCAGGGGCCATGCTAATCTTCTCTTTATCATTCCAATCTTAGTGTATGTGCTGCTGAAGCGAACAAGAAATAGTTGAAATTGAATATCACACTATCAGTGACAGTACTCCATGGGTTGCTTGGATTTTTGTATATTTTATGAGCAAGGCACTGACTGTCCTTTTGTTTCAAACTATCTTGCAAGGATGTTTATTTGTAAACAGCCTTGGAAGATAGAGGTAATGTCTACCTCCAGAGCAAAGGGCAGATTTGATTACTGTCAATATAGTAAAGATAACATCTCCCTCTGTGATGAAGAGCATGTTTTCTTACAGCCTATTAAAAAAGATTTGGGTTCCCTAAGTGTGGCTTCCTCAGCTGTGATGCAAACTATTTTGTGTGAAGTGTACAGAACCCGTCTGGGTCCTCCACAGTGCCTTCTATGACCTGGAGCACATGAAGAACAAATACAAATGCTAACATGGAAAGAAACTGGAAAAGCTTTGTTTCAGGAATCTTTCATTTGGCTTTCTAGATCTACCTCCACCTATTCCCCTCTATCTTTCTGACCTATCAGATTATGTGAACCATGTGAATGGCTCCCAAATCTCTGACTTCCAAAAGAAAGGCCTGGTGCTGGATCTGAGAAAAGGAGAAGACTATACCCAGTTTATCTATTCTCCTGGCTCCCTCCCTGCAAGTTGCTATGTTCTACTGACACTGGCCTTTCCTGTCAGCCTTTTCTACATAGCTCCCTTTCCTCCTAGCTTCAGATAACCACTCTCCCCCTATACTACTTTAGGCCTGGGATTCTATCTCTTGCTCTTTTATTAGCTCTGATTATTGCATTATTTCTGTGTTACCCGTGCTGTGCCTAGACTTTCACAAATAGACCCACTGTAATAATCCCTTCTTGAGATATTTGAATACTTTGAGTGTGAAATATCTTTCTGGTTGGAACGTTGATTTATACAACTTGAATCTTGAAGGGTAAGTAGGAAAGCAAATAATTTCTCAGGGAAATATAATATTGAATACATAAGAGACAATGGCAGGGGATAAAGGTAGAAAGGATTTGTATGCATCTATGAGGAGACTATCCTAAAGATGATAAAGGACTATCAAAAGATTTCAGCTAAAGCTGTGATATAAGACTTGCATTTTAGAAAGATTACTTGGACATCACTTAGGAAAGAGTTTCAGAAGGAAGTTAGTGCAATTAGCAACCTGAAGTAATGAGCTAGGCAAAAGAAACTGAGAGTTAATAGTTAATAGATTCCTTAACGAGGGCAGTGACAATGGAGAGATGGAGAGAGGGAAAGAGACCTGGGAGAATAGGGAGGTCATGTGAGGTGTGAGAGAGGTAGGCGACCCTCAGTTGTCTGGCTTCAGTAACTCAGCGGATAGAAGTATAATTAACTTGAGGAGTCGTTAGAATAGCATCTGAAGAGTCAAGGGTCAATTTGACAATAACTAGTCAGAGTAGCATTTAGGTTAGGATATGAGAGACAAATTGATGTGTTAACTATTCTGACTGGACATTCTATAATGTAGCCACTTAGAGATTTGAAGAAGGTGGTTCAATTAGAAACAGTAAACATATTTAATAGAGCATGAAGGGCATCCTGTATCAATACAAATTTAGAGAAGAGTAAATAAGAGAGAATCTAAGTTGTATAAAAGTGTTGGCCATGGATGTTCAAGCATATCACATTCATTTTTAAAAAATATTTATTTATTTATTTATTTATTTATTTATTTATTATGTGAGAGGCAGAGACACAGAAAGAGGGAGAAGCAGACTCTGGCAGGGAGCCTGATGTGGGACTCGATCCCGGGCTTTAGCATCACACCCTGAGCCAAAGGCAATGCTGGATTGCTGAGCAACCCAGGCATCCCAAGCATATCACATTCAAAGAGAACCTTGACTAAGTTCACTTAGGGTATTCTTAGAAGTACTGAAACCCTACTTTACCTAGTGTTTGTGACACTGTATACCAAGAGTTCACCAACATCAAAAACAATTATGGCTTAACAGTATTTTGAATCAGGATTAATAACAGTCACAGGTAAAAATAAGGAAAAGAACAAGAACAGCACATGTTTTGAGTTTTCATGTGGTATCAGAAACTATTCTAAGTGTTTTATATAGATTTAATTTTTTAATCTTTGTAACAATTTTAAAATGTTGGTAAGTACTAATATTGATTCCATTTTGTCAGTGGGGAAATTGAGGTTCACATAGGCTCAGTGTCATATAGAAAATGTATATAGAACCCAGAAAGTTTGACTATACAGTCGTCAACTGCATGGGGTCTAACTCCATGAATTATTGTTAGTAGAAGAAAGAAACTTGTAGGATACTGTACGTTTTTGGTTACAAAAGTATTACTCCCTTGGAAAGAAATTCCTCATTATTTTATTTCAGTACAGCACTTACAAATATCAAAATAATTTGTTACCATGTTTATTTCTACTTTCATGAATTAGAAAATAAATTAAGAGAAAGGATAAAGTCATTTCTCTTATTACTGTAGTATCCTCAGTGATAAGAATGGTGTCAAGCACAAACCAGGAGTGTGTGTGTGTGTGTGTAGGTGTGTGTGTGTGTCTACAGTCAATATATGTATATTTAATCAGATATGAAGTGGCTATTCATTCATTAGCCATGGTATTTTTGTGTTAATGACCTGACTTCTCTCAGCGTAGGCTGTTCTTCCTCAAAAAAAGGATATAGTAATAACTACCCTTCATGGTTTCCTTTCATTCCCTCCTACCAAATCTATCCAGCAAATCTTTATGGCCACTACAGTTACCGTTTTTCCAATTTTAAGTTCACCCTACCTATTCCTCAGATTAGGTGATGATATGTACATGATTATTTTTCATAAGCATATTATATCTAGCCATAATCTTGGGTGTATTATGGTATAAATGTGGCACATAATAAAACTCAAATGTCTTTAGATGCTAAATTAAGAAGAAATTATTGTCAAACTTTTATATTCAATAACAAAAAGCTCAACTTTATGTGAATTACAAAATAGGTGAATCGGTGAATTAAATTAAATTTGTCTTTTAATTTCTAAAATGCTACTCGAGGTAGATAAATATAAAATGTAATAACTATTCAGCCATCCCACATGTTTGGGTTTCATGACAAAATGTTATTAAACATGATACACTTAAGACGTTCCTGGGATATTTCTGTCTCATAGAGATGAAGCACATTTGTTTCAAGTGTAAAATATTTCAAATCTATTAGATGATTTACAAATCAGGGGATGCCTAGGTGGCTCAGCCCTTGAGCCTCTGCCTTTGGCTCAGGGCGTGATCCTGGAGTCCCAGGATCGAGTCCGGCATCGGGCTTCCTGCATGGAGCCTGCTTCTCCCTCTGCCTATGTCTCTGTCTCTCTCTCTGTGTCTCTCATGAATAAATAAATAAAATCTTTTTAAAAAGCCCCACATAAAAAAAAAACACATGTTTTTTAAAAAAAGATAATTTACAAATCAGAGCAGGATAGCCTGAACTGCATGTCTCACTGTTATTTCAAACTATATCTCACTCTCATTTGTGCATTCATATACTATTTGTTTCTTTCATGAAACACTCTTTGTTTACTTGCTTCACTACATAAATCTGACATTATTAGTCACTTGCATGAATGATATTGACAGAGGGGTTCTTTTGGGTTCCTTCTGGGCCCTAAAGGGCAAGGTACTTGTGTCACCTCAAGCAGCAATAGTATAAATTGGCAGTTTGCTTAATGTAAAATGCAAATTTCTCAAGGGCAAGGCATCATTCTGCATAGTAATCATAATAATGCCTATACAAATTCTAAAATAATTCAAAGGTTTATTTTACTTTGCATTTAGCTCTTTTTTTTCCTCCCAGGAGTTCAAGGGACAAATAAACCCCTGGCTAGAGTATTGCAATAACCATTGGCCTAAGATGAGCAAACTGCAAAATGTTGATTCCCCACTGAAACTTGAGAAGGGTTAAATATGACTTTGCCAAATATCAGCTGGCTCAATTGGTAACATTTATAAGCCAAATTTCATTATTTAGAATTTGAAAAGCCAAAATAAAGTTTAAAACAATTTTTCACAATTACACATTTTATTTTCTCTGCATGTACTTAACATTTTTACATTAATTTTTATCTGCATCAGAATCAACAACCTTAGATTATAAAGTATCCAGTGAAAGAGGCCATACTGCCCTTCCTTTTTCAACATATTAAAAAAAATAAGGGTTTAGTATTTGTGGTGATGTGATAAAAGAAGCTATTTTTCCTATAATATTCATAAAGCATTCTATACCCTGAAAATCACTGGTCCACATGTTTTGCTCAGTTGAGGGAATCACCTTAGAAATTTAATGAAGTTCTATTCACCTATTATTATAGTTTGTTCTAGAACAGTAAGGTATCTTTAAAAAGGTAAATTTGCCTCAATAACAGATTATTCTATACTCTGTCCTTTAGGATTCTCCCTTCTTACATTTATAATGAGCATATAACTTTTATGAGCAGTGTATTCAAATGATTTATTCCAGTACATACAAGATAATAAATAAGAATATTGCAGTCAGTATTAACACTGTATATTAAAAAAAACAAAAAAATAAAATAAAAAAATAAAAAAACACTGTATATTAAGACTTTTTAATGATTATTTTTTGTTGAAAGTTTTAAACCTTAAGAATAGACAAAGTAAATAGGTTAGTATGATATTTTTATCCCATTGATCTTCAGCATTGGCATGGCAATAACTAATTTGTGAGCCTCTCCCTTTCTCTTCTTCCCTTTTTTGGATGTATGTCCTTCAGAAACCTTGACTAGATTTTCAGTCAAATAATAATTTCCACTAGTGAAAAGTCCACTATCTTACTGTTAAGGCAAGAACTTATTTACAGAAAGCCAAGGCTAGCTTTCACAGGGGAATAACAGAGACCCTTGGAATTTGTAACACAGCACAATATGGCAGTTAGAAGCACAGACTGGAGAGGCACACTGTCTGGCTTGCAATCCACGGTGTGATCTTGGGGACGCTATATATCTTCTTGTGCCTTAGCTTCATATA